AAACGTGTGAATTTTTATTTCTCAGGAAATTTATGTAAATATTTTCAAAAATCTTTACAAATAACTGTTAAAATTTTAATTATTTTTAAAAATTATAATTTCTAAGATTTGTAATTTTTAAGAATTATGATTTGTAAATATGAAAAAAAAAATCCTATCAAACGTTCTCTAAGCATCAAGAATAATGTGAGATATCTTGATAAGTCGAATATTAAATTTTTTTTTTCTCTCACTCTCTATATAAATTATTTCAAGAACATGATGGACATAGTATTTTAATAATTAAGTACCTTAATTTTAATATCATTTTTTGAGATCTCGATATTCTGAAAAAATAATGCCCTAACAAATTACAAAGGTCTCAGCAAAACATGCTTAGGGGAGCACAAACCAACAGGGAGAACCAGAAAAACTTAGTTGGGGTTATAACGAAGGCCCATTTCTTATTCGGGGAAAATCCAATTGGCCCACAGGGGATGGCCCAAAGGCCCTGCAGGGAGATATTCAAGTTCTATCAACATAGTTTTATTATTGATTAAAATTTATTAAAAATCATAATATTATAAATGATACTTGTTAAATAAAAAATGAGACTAATAAAAAATATTAAATTTATTAAATTTTTACTAACAATAAAAAATGTTAAAAAAAATAGTGTTACATAATATATCAACATTTCTCTTATTAATATGCACTTGACCCGTTAAAGACAGTGACGTCTTTTATTTTTTTATTTTTTTATACATATATATTTTTTCTTTTTAAGTTGAGTTGTTTCCAGGTAAATAATTATTAAATGTATGTTTCTATATATAAGAAATAAATAAAGGTCTTATTTTATTCTTAATTATAACAGATATGTGTTATTTTTAAGTGTACTAATTAATAGTTTTTTTTATACTTTTAATTTATTATAAGTATTGATTAGTCATTTATTTATTTTACTGTTGAGTAGTGTCAATAAATATAATTATCACTAACACTATTCAAATTTATGAGTATTTTTTAAATAAAATTTTAAATTATAATATTATTAATTACAACTAATTAATTTGATTATTTTTTATTAATTTTGTATTCATTTTTTATATATAAGAATGAACATAATATATTATTAAATATAGTTAGGAATTACTTTTTTTAAGAATATTATATCTGAAAATATTATTTATATAAATATGTTTTGTTATCATTTAGCTATTTAGTAATTCTAGAAAAATAAAAATATAAGAATAAATATAAAACAATAAAATGAGCTCAAGTAATTATTGTATAAAGTAACTTTAGTTCTGACATGTATATAAAATATTCACTTTGAGAACAAGAAAAAATTTAGCAGCTTTTTATTCTTTAACATGAAAAAAAAATCGATATAAAATATAAATAACTAGAAGTTAAGGTCATTTGATATCAGTGTCCAACTGTCCATTAGTCATAGCATGTTTCCTGTAGGTAGGAGGCAATCGTATGGAAACGGATTATTGAAGATATAGGAAAACTGAAATATATATGACATTTGCCCGTCTAGCTCAGTCGGTAGAGCGCAAGGCTCTTAACCTTGTGGTCGTGGGTTCGAGCCCCACGGTGGGCGTTTTTGAATTTTTCCCTCTTCCTCCTTATCCTTGTATTGTGTTAAAAAATAATGTAAAATTAATCCCAAAGTCTATAATATTAAAATCTTTTTACACTTTATGGGATTTGTATGATAAACAATAAAGTAAAATTAACCCAAAAAATATAATATTAAGGGTGGTTCTTTTTAATTTTTATAAAGAGTAATTTATATGAAAAAAAAAACTAATGCAAAATTAACCAAAAATTTTATATTAATTAAAATTGTTTTACTCTTTGTGTTTGTATGATCAAAAATAATGTAAAATTAACCCAAAATAATATAATATTACAATTTTTTAATCTTTTTAAATTTTTATGTATATTTATTTTATCTTTTTTTATTCTTTATGTATAAAGAGTAATTTGTATGATAAAAATAATGCAAAATTAACCTACAAAATATAATGTTAAAATATTTTTTCTCTTTATGTGTAAAAAGTGATTTGTATGATAAAAAAAATATGAAATCTATATGGAATTTGTATGATAAAAAATAAAGTAAAATTAACCCAAAACATATAATATTAAGGGTGGTTCTTTTTAATGTTTTTAATTTTTATAAAGAGTAATTTATATGAAAAAACTAATGCAAAATTAATCAAAAAAATCTATATTAATTAAAATCTTTTTAATCTTTGTGTTTGTATGATAAAAAATAATGTAAAAATACTATAATATTACAATTTTTTAAATCTTTTTAATTTTTATGTATATTTATTTCATCTTTTTTTTAATTCTTTATATATAAAGAGTGATTTGTATGATAAAAATAATGCAAAATTAACCTAAAAAAATATAATATTAAAATATTTTTTAAAAAGTGATTTGTATGATAAAAAAATATGAAATTAATGCAAAAATAGTAATGGGATTGACTGAATTTTAAAATCAACTTATTTTATCCGTACCATCCAACAAGTCCTTCACATTTACCATTTTTCCCTCATAGACATCCTTGTCTATGTTAAAGACAAACACATTCTGCATATGGTAGAAGTGAACAACCTGTTGGAGAGTCTTGTTGAAGCCAATTTGGTATTGTTTGTATACTTGGAGTTGTGCCTCAACTAATCCCGCTTCAACCACCTCTCTATTCACTTTTTCCTCATCTCAAAGTTTGGTCATCTTGGAGAGATGACTCTTCAAACTTTTTTTTTCAACTTTGGTAAAAAAATGTGTCAATGTCTGCACTAGATGTACCTTCATTGGGTCCCAATCTTTTATGCTGATAAAGACCTTTAAATATTTTTTCTCTATGCTCCTTGTGCTTCTTTTTACGAGAGTGATGAGAAGATGACACATTGATGTGGTTGATAGTGGTGGTAGGAGTCAACCTTTGAGAACCTTTTTGGACTTGTGGAAGATTCTTGGTAGAGGTGGTTGTCAAGTTACCGCTACCCAAGTTCCTAGGAGTAGGTTCCTGGTGCCTAGAGAACCTTGAGCAGTAGCAACAACTCAAACACTCTTCTAATCAAAATTGAAGTTCCAAGCCATGAATTTTGCATTAAGAATAAACACAAGTTAGAAATAATAGAGCACTTGAGCATACACAATTGATGATTGAACATTACATTCCATTTTTTACTAAGCATTCAGTAGGACGAAGATTTTTAAAATCTCCTTTTTTTTAAGGGCAAGGATAGTTGCATAATTATTTTTAAGTTTCGCTGCTCCTCATAACTCATCAAGCCTGACTCCTAAACATTGTATATATATGGTGTGTTGGTCCAATAGAAGGGGAATTTCCAGGCTAAGTTCTTTTGATCCTCAAGAGTTAGGTCCATGAAGGTTGATGCCCCCTTCAAGGTCAACAAAATCTTAAAGAACTCATCCTTGAAGTTCTTGAAGAAGGTGGTGTAAGGCTTGAACAAGACCCGTGTGCATGATTGATCAAGGATAACCATTTGGACACAATATTGGGCCTAGTCTTGTAGAAGTGTAAGAATATGACAAGGGTCAACTATATGTTTAAACTCTTGTAAATAAATCAAAATGCTTGCAAGAGAGCCCAACTATTAGGATGCAACTATGTCGGGACTACATTGAGGACTAACAACACCTCAATGGTAAAAACATTGAAGGGGCAATTAACTTCTAAGAGTAGAAGAGGTAGAAGGATGACAGTTTTGAAATAAAGAATTTTTAGGGGAGGGAGTAGAAGAAGAGTTGGATATAACATTAACTTCCATTATGCTTAGGAAATAAGACTCTACACTATTATTGGAACTCATAAAAAGATGGGAAGGGAGGTGTATCTTATCGGTATTCGACTTTTGACTACTTTAGGAAGGTAGAAGAGGCTAGTGCTTAGAGTATTTGGAAGGTAGAGGTTGCAACTAAATCCTTTCAAGGACTAAGGGACCCTATTTATAATTGTAAAGGACTTTGGAAGACAAAGCATTGCATCTTTGTGAATCTTTAAATCTTTCAAAGATCAACCATGGTCAAAGTGGATGCAACCCTTTGCATTCATAAGAACGTTTCACATTCACACTGTAACTTTTAGAACTTTATTTTCTAACGTGTCATCACTACATCTGATATGATCACTAAAACGTTGGCATATTCAAAGGGCAACAATTGCAAAATTTAAAAGACGGGATGACAAACTTTTCCAACCAACAACGCATTGAACTCTTCTCCCAAGAGTTGAAGACTTGAGACTTATGTATCAAATAAGTCTCAGGCTCCCATGTCGAGAACTTATCAACTTTTGGCCTTACATCATGACTACATAGCAAGGATCCATACAGCGCTCGTCTAGACCAAATAGAGCATTCTCATAAGTTGAGGAGTACTTGACTTACCAAATACATTTCTTCATGACCAAACCTAGCAGAAAGTAACATCTAACTGTTATGTAGCAAGGAAAGGTCTTGAATGCAATTTAATGTCTCGTCTATTAACGCTAACATTTTCCCACCTATAGATACTTGTATTTCACCTTCAAAAGATACACTCATTCTTGAGATTACATTCATACACTTTGAATAGCCACTAACTTAAGTGTCAAAGTCTTTTTTACAGATATAATCGTCAATCTAAAAATCGAGGATTGAATGCCGAAAACTTTGGACGAGTATTTTTTCCAACAAGTATAAAATGTTTTTTATTTCTAAAATCTAAAACTGGTTTATCTCTTAATATTTTTTAGATCTATTCCTTACCTCCTAAAATACGACTTACCCCTTAAGAGGTGTGATAAATTTGTTTAGCACTATTAGTGACTATCCAGTACAGCGAATCCATTAAAGAAAGAAACTAATCGTAATTTTAACCATCGTCCCAACAAGGCCACAAAATCTCCGAGTCACTGGTATCTCGAATTTTAAAAGGAAGTACCTCAAACTCGAAACAATATTATCAAATTAGAACATCCTAGAAAATGTACATAATCTATAAAGAAACTAGGAAAATAGCATCATATCTAGGATGTACCATAGAACATTAGAATGATGAAAGATAAACCTGCATTTGGAAAACAAAACTTGGGAACTTTCAGACCCTGGATCACATGGAATGATTCGAAGCGAGCTAGCTCAAACTTGTTTCCAGTTCCGGTAGATTAGTGCCATATTCTTACATAGACACATAAGCATACATACAACATATACTAGTGGCCAAGACATAAAGCTAAAAGGGGTTTAATTAGGAGAAAAACAAAGTAGTAACTCAAATGAGAACAACAACATATCTTCTCTAACTGCCCACCACACATCACTTATTAAGTAGGTTCCTGGAGAAAATTCTTTTGCAATAAGGACTGGTGCGCAAGATTTTGTGGGGACGAACTGCTTCTACCAGAGAAGAATGCAGAGAACCCTGTATCAGAAAAAGAGGAGTAAAAAAGAAAAAAAGAAGCATCACAAAGCAGAAAGAAATAATAAAACATGCTTCTGACCTAGAGCTACATGCATATACAAGTCATTATAAAGAAAAAGAGCAACGTAAAGTCAAGAGTTCTACACCTTCGGTGTCTACCCCTCGCATAAGTATAACTACATGCTTTAATATAGTTAATTTTGCTTTACAAGTAATTAAGAGTAGATGAACGTGATTGTTTACGATTATAAATTTGAGATTAATATTGTCAGAGGTTATTGAAATGTCTAATTGTAGTTAAGTTTGCCTCACAAATAGTTAATACTGTATGCTGAAGAGAAAAGGAACATTATTAATTATAGATGAGATAATGAACATTATTAATTATAGATGAGATTAATAGTGTCATGAGATTATTGAAATGTTTAATAGTAGTTAAATTCGTAGTGATTTACAGTGTCATGAAATTTATAAGTTCTACTAAATGAATTTGGTCTCGCTCCTTATTTAGTGGATTCTACTCTAATGATTTGCAATTTTGCATATACATTTTAACTAAATAACTAAGTGTTGGAAAGAGTATATGTCAGATAATGTGTTTGCAAGCATTTCTCATGTATATATTTAGTTTCAAACCTTGGTTACTCCGAGAGCACGTTGAACAACATAGTTAGCGTATGGGTCTGGTAGCAACCGCTCAAAGTTAGGAAAAGACAACAATTCTTGGACTATCCTTGACCTGCTCTCTGCAACATGCATGAGGCATTTTTCAACTACATGACTGCTAAATTTTTGCATTGAGAGGTTTACGTAGTTCCCTTTGAACTGAGAATGCAATTTGCTTGACAGATTTGGATCCTCCATCTCTATAATATACTGAACAACATAATTTCTGCAATATTTGAAAGAGTTTTTAGAGACAGAAAGCTTACAAATTAGAGTAATAAGTAAGCAAAAAACCCAAGATGTAAAATAAGCAAGTACACACTATGTTTCAGGAATCCAGGTTCGGAGCATGTACTCTAAAGGTAACCTCCAAATAATTTCTCTCATGATTATTGTTGTCAGAGATGAAAGCTAACAATTTGATACAAATGGAAAGTAAATGAAACATAAATATCCCGCAGCAGCAAGAACTTTGAATTTTGCAAGTCATTTATGGAGAAACACTGTTCTAAGCACCAAATAGCACAACAAACAAATTTAACATTTTGGCAAGTTCCAAAGGAGAAATTCAATCTAATTCATTTTAGTAATCTCGATCATTTTAAAAATAGATTAGTCAAAAGTTAACACATTTGAGTGGAATAATCTCTAATTTTGATTTTAGGGATGTTTTAGCAAAGTTTAACTGAAACAATTCAAATGCTGTTAGTTGGCTAAGATTGTGTTATTTTGGTCGATCTGTCTCTCCTAAGTCCTTACACAAATGGCTTTTTATTCTCTCTCTCTCTCTCTCTCTTTTCCAGCTTTTTAGTACCCTTATTTTCTATATATATGAAGAATCTCTCCCTGTAATTGCACGAGTTTTTATAATATTTTTTCGGTTAAAAAAAATAACCCTTCTAATCTACATTTTTCTTAGTAAGTGAGATATCTAAGGAAAATATTTTAACCTTATATACTCTAGTTGATCCTAATCTAGGCCTCGCCATGAACTGTCTACATTTCCAAAGGCCCTACTCCCTAACAAATCACATACAGACCTTTTCTTCTTCTATAAACATTCAATTTAAGGTGCACTAAATCTCCTAACATAATAAGAAGGGGGAAAAACTGTAAGAAACAAGAATAAACAGCTATATGTATATTTCCAAGCAGCTATAGATACTGCCCATAAGTGCCACGTGGTATCCCAAATTAATCAGAGAGAAGATTTATTAAATTAAAAAAATCCTTAAGTTGTGGCAACTAAATGAACACCAACAACTATGAAAGGTATAAATATAATGTATATCAATCCGGGATATCAAGTTTGGTGTTGTAAGAAAATATTAGGAGTAAAAAAGCTTTATATTTACAGGTAAAGGTCAAAGGCTAATTACCCAAATGGATCTTGAGCAAGGATAAGCCCATGTCTGCATATTTCTTTTACCAGTTTATCTTGGTACTTTCCGGTGGAATAATCAATGCAACGTTGTAATACACAACACCCATGTTGATGAGTGGCTATATCTACACAGAACTTTGTAGCAGCATCAAAAATAAACTGCAATAAATCATAATGGGAAACAAGTTTATGATGAAACTTCACAATTAGTTTCAATCAAAAATCATTGGGGAAAACAAAAGATGAATCGGATGTTAAGGTAAGTGCACACGCTTGAGAAATTTGTACATCCGCCTAAAAATACATTTCTAGAAAGCTCTAAAGTAATTTTTCTATTATAATTTATAAATAACCATGTTCATAACCATAATTAAAATAGTTTACAATAAAATGCTGCCTTTGAATCAATTGAATTAGCAATTACACATTTCCCTTAGATTCTCTATTTTTCTCTACTTGCAAACTATCACCAATATAATTTGAATGATGTTTCTATCTCACCTAGCTTCTTAAAAGAAAACGACTTCACTCAAACTCATTCTTAAAGAGATTGGTAAACCTCATTTTGAGTAGCTTTGAACAAGATCGTCACCAATTCAAGACGTACAAGACTGCAATTATATCCATTTGAACCCAACAATGATTTCACAAATCTTCTCACAATATCATTGATGATTTCAGAGTGCATTAAGTTCGGTTATCTACCAACACCTAAAAATCATAGGGACTGATCATTTTGAAGTACGTTTTGTTATATTAATCGTGCTAAGTAATAAATAAAACATAGACTTCTTAGTGGCAATAAGTCAAATACTTTAAAAATTAGAAGTTGGCACAAAATAAAAAGGGTCACCCGAATCTATAACTGTAACATATTCAGGGATTAGCATTTTAAGCATTCCTAAATATGAGGTAAGGATCACAGAATTAGCCCTTTAAGCATTCCTAATTGGGAAAGAAGATGAACATATTCAGGCCAAATAGAGAATGCTTCACCATTATGGTCTAAAGAGAGAACCCCCCAATAGATGGCGAATTTTGTTCACAGTTGACTTACCTTTTAGAATTTTTCTGAAGCGACCAAAGACAAATATTGGCTTATAATAGTCACAGACATTAAGTATTGATCAAATTAGAAACTGGTGAATAAAGAAATTAGTTTGAAAATTAGCAAAATTATGATATCACATGGTATGTACTACCAATATGATTCCCACACTCTAATTATGATATCTTGAAGCTAAGACTTCGCTAAACCATTTTTGAAATCAGTTAGTGAAACTTGAATGAAACAGG